TTGCCAGAACCTTTCAAAGATGAACGGCCTTCCAACACCATTAGCCAGCTCCCTCTGTTCTTATGGTTTAAGCAGGGATAGCTTCTAATTCCAGGCAAGCAGAAGAAGGGCAATCAGTATTTTCTGTGGCTAAAAAAGACCCGGTAAGGGAGGGGAAAAATAAAGTTTGTCCGGATTTATATGAAAGCTGCTTGAGTACCTATTTCAAGGAAAAAAGTTAATGTTGCATATTGCAAAGTGGTAAGTACTTGCTGATGATTTCTTTATATAGAGTGCTGTTGAGTAAATTAAAATTTAATGTAAGTGATCAAAGAAATACCTAGACAGTGACATTTTAACATCTTTATGGAGTGGTGAAGGAACCCTTTAGAAACTGTTTGGGATGGGTTTTGGAAGTCTCTGTGAGGATTCCACTGCTTTTGAAGGTGGTGCCTTAGGTGAAGTTCTTTGTCTAGATTTCTGGTACAGCAACGCCAAACATAGCAGTGAAAGTGAAGAACAGTGGCTCTGCTGATTTAGTAGCCAGTTTCCTCTACAGCAAAGTTGTGGTTAGTTACCGTTTCCTCTTAGGACAGATTCATCTTTGGCTGTGAGATTTTTTTCCCAATAATCCACTATGTTTTACAGTAATGCCAGGCAAGAACTAGCTTTTGATATCTCTAGGCATGCTGAAAAAACCCCAAACCAAAACACAAATGGTTTGATTACTTCCTGATCATGTTTAAGATGAAATCTGCGCAAAATGCCTCCCCCTGGTCTTGCAGAGTAGCAGTGTTCAGTGCTCAGATAAATGAACATGCCAAGACCCAGAGAGTAAAGTAGGTTCTAACCAATGTATATAGTGTGTAAACTGTTTAAAGTTTTAAAAGGCAGTGCCTCTTCTTGCAAGTCTTCCTTCATTTACTTGCTCAGCTGGGGTATTTCAGGACAGAGAGAAGAGGAAATGTGCAATCTTTGGGTTGTTTGAAGCCCTTCAGTTGTGGGTTTTATGCTGTAAGTTACAGTTTGGGGGAGGATGCTGAGGGTGACTTGTGCAGCACTGGGTATTAAGTCTCCTACTGGATAGACTATTAAAAATGATGAGAACTTTGGGTAGGAAATAGGAGGATTTGCAATTAAACTAATCCATGACCTGTATACTGATTGCTATATTCCAATATTAGTCTCTGTTTTTATGTGTGGCCTGAACCACAAAATGGTTGTCAAGTTGCTTTCCAACTGAAGTAAGGTGACATTTTCAGTTAATCTATAGGAGGCCATTGAGTCACAGACCACGGGCCGCTGTGGTTATGCTTATGTGATTCTGTTACATAGATAGAGATCATTTGATGATGCTCTATGCTCATCACTACAAAGTGTATTTTTTCCTTTTTTTTTTTTTTTTTTTGTAACTGAAGAAATACAGGATTGTCATGAGGAATTCTGTATTATAGCAGTACCCTAGAAATCCCCTTCTGCTTTGATTACTTTGCTGTGGAAAAAATCAATTACTACTCTTCCTATGTATGTCTCATAGTGAAAACTTAACCAGTAGTGAAAGCACAACAACAGGATTGGCTACCTCACTGTTTTGAGAAACAAGCAGGAATTAGAGCAGAGGTGGTTAACAGTTATATTTCTCGTATGCAAGTGCAGGAAACACAGGCAGAACATTTAGTGATGGAGTTGGCTTCTTCTGCAGCAATATGTTAACTATTTTCTTTGGCTGCATTTAAGATGAATGCCATCTGGGGCAGTGGCTGTCCATCAAATTATTGTGGGCGCAGTGATGCTTGTCTGAGTGGCCTCCATGCTTAGCTTGAATCAAGCAATCTGATCCAGCTCTTTTCAGTCTGGCCTTTGGCCCATGATTGAATAGTGAGCTTTAACCGAACAATTGTATATAGTACCCGAGTTTGAAGGCATGAGAGGGTGGTCAGGGCAGAACATACGGTAGAGATTTCGGACTGGCTGAAACCAGTAATTTACTTACTTTGCTCTAATGTAAACTTCTCATGTAGCTTTGTTACAAATGACAGCATTAAGGCTTCCTAAACCAGCAATTGTGGAATACAGTGGGGAGGTGAAATCAAACTGTGAATTTGCAAAATATAGTCATAAGAAGATATATGTCACTAACCAGATTGCTAGAGCAAACTTGCTTCCCTATTACTGTTGTGCATACTCACACTATAAGAAGTTACACTGGACAGATGCAGAAAGTTTTTGCCAATTCTTTGCATTCATGTTTGTTGGGTTTTGTTTTTTATAAAAATCTTACATCTTGCTCAACCAGTTTCTAAGCAGTTTATACCATTGCAGTGCTTTTCATGAAAAAAGAAAATCTGGGTTGCGCAGTGTGAATGCTAGTGGAGTGCAAGATAAAGGAATCCATCCCATTCAGGACAGAGAGAAGTGATGGCAGTATTGTAAAGCCCATCCTGATGGACAGGCCAGTGCAGATGGATTCCACAGAAGGGTAGGGATCCTTCAACTTGTTGAGTAATCCAGTTTGTAAGCTCGGGCCTGGCTAAGAAAAATACTCGCAATCTTTGATCCAGTCCTCATTTACCATGGAGTGCAGGTGTATACAGGAGCAGTTTGTGCAGGGGGCTGATATGGTTGGGTGTATGCTTATGCAAATACCTCAGGTTACTTGGCTGATGGCAAGTACACAAATCCGAGAACTCTTAACTTTGCTGCAGTGTCGTGGTGAAGAGGGCTGTCTTGGATTTGACGAACTAAATGCAGCTCTGTATCAGGACGGGATTTTGTTAACATAGATCAGCTTTGCTTATAGTTGCATGATGAGATGAGAAGCATCAGTTTATCTTTTCTGTTTTATTGAGCAGCAAAACTCGGAAGCTAGATCGATAATTTTTTTCTTTTTCTTTGGGTTAGTACTTATTAACCAGTTGGGAGAGAGGATCTTAAAATAACCTTGATTATTAAGAATTGGACACTAAATTTAAAACCTAAGAACTTGTTAAAATTATCCGTATTGAGTTCATGTATGTACTTCATCCTGAGCCCATTAATCTTCAGTGTGCATTCACGTGCAGCAAATTCTTAAGTAACTTGTCAATTAAATAAACTTCAGGCTCTACAAAATCACCCGTTTGTACAGCAGAAATTTATTAGTCATTCTGTGTTTATGCTGGAGTTAGCTTGAACGGTGGCCAAACATATCATTTTGTCTCCAAGTTCAGATTCCAGCTCTGAGTTACTAATAGTTTATGGCTTTGAAATGCTGCCACATGTTAGCACTTACCAAAGCAGCTTCTGTCAGTGTAAATTAAAACAGAAGATTCTCCTCTTTTCTGCCATGTAAGTTGAATTTGGTTTTCTAAGAACAAGACAGTGGCGTTTTCTTCGAAGAACTTAAAGCAGCTATCAGCTTTCCTAACTCCACTGCTAAACATACGCCAGTACGCAAATATAAACTTGCACATTAAGTAGCTAATGCATGGATCATGTATGATCTATGTTGGAAATAATGAATGCGTTAAATAATGACTCACAAGGAGGAAGGTGTCACAAGGTGACAGATCTGTCCATATATAAAGAAATCATGAAATAACAGCCAAAGCAAAGTGAATAATGCTGTAACCTTCAGAGGAAAATGAAGGCGCTCTTGAACAAAATGAAGTGTATTTTCACAGTTGTGTAGGCTAACTAACCTAACTGAAGAGAATACACTGAATTTATGGACAATAGCAAGACAAAGGTGTGCCTGTGAAATAACAGTATTTGGATCCCTTGTGGATTTCCATTCCTTTATTACTAAGCCTCTGTATTAAGAAATTGCAAGTGTATGTGTTCCTTTAGTCCTTTGGTGGGAAAGTTTAATTGTGGGGGAAGGGATGGCAGCCTGGTGGATGCTTATGGAAGTTCCGCCAAAGATACCTATTTGAGTGTAATTAAACTTCAGCTTACTTTTGGAATGTGTCTTCTCTAGAGCAGTGAGGTTAGAGCTGCTGAGTTAGCAGTCAGCTGCAACTTACAAGCCAAATACATTAATAGTAGAAAACTCAAGTAATTACTCTTCAGGCTAGTATTGTACTTTGTTGTATTGCACATACCAAGGTGAATGTTTCTTTAGCCTCACACACACACACTTGATATTTATTGACAATTCTTTATAACCTTTATGAACTGTGGTTGTTGCAGTCTAAATGGAGATTCACTACTGCACAGGTTCAGCTCTTGACAGAAGTTACTCATCCACATGGATCATGGAAGGGTGAAGGCCCTTTGGAGGAAAACTCAAATGGTGGGACACTCTTCTAGAAGGAGCTGGAGGTGGCTTTTAGAAGACTGCATTGCAAATCAACACCTAATATGCTGTCATTCCAGCTTAAGTTAAAAGCAGTAGCTCTTCTATTTTCCTGAATATTGAATATTATAATAAATTAATTGTCCCCTGCTGTATTACCTGCATTTTCCAGGTTGACTCACTTCACTTCTTGACATTTTATTTATGTTGTCTTACTGCTTGTCCTTTCCCTAGTGTGACGATGGATCCACTTACTGAAAGAAGAAATAAATTATTTTTACCTGTTAATTTTAATTTGAAGAAGTGTGCTTCCTAATCCAGGCTTCCCTGGAAGACTTACAAAGTAAGAAGGATATGACTTAAAATCCCCAGCTGTTTCGTTTGGTTTGGTTTGGGTTTCTTTTTCTTCTTTTTTTTTTTTTTTAATTAACCTAAACTAGAGTTTCTCATGTAAATGATCCTTTTGGAGTGTTTCTTTTTGGAGAAAAGACTCACCAGGCTCCGCCAGCTGCTTTCTCTTGGACAGACCATTTTGACTCTACTTTTGTTTCTCAGTCAAACATAAGAACACTTACCTGTTTGTGTTAACAGTATTGGACATGATGCTTCAGAGAAAAGAAACTAAGTGTATGATTTCTTTTGTTATATGACTGTTTTGTCTTGGTTCTATCAGTTACCTCTAGGGGAAAATATTTTTCTTAGTAAGTTTTTGAGTGTGAGCAACTGGTGAAATATCATTTTACAGGTTACATGCCTTACCTGTGACAATAAGTCAAATACCATAGAACCTTTCTGGGACCTGTCCCTGGAGTTTCCTGAGCGGTATCACTGCAACGGCAAGGAGATGTCATCTCAGTACCCATGTCTGCTGACAGAAATGCTGGCCAAGTTTACAGAAACTGAAGCTTTGGAAGGAAAGATATATGCATGTGATCAGTGCAACAGTGAGTAAAGGCAGTATGTACTCATACATATGTTCTATGTGTAAAATACAAAGTAAAGTGACAGAGTTATTACAGAAGGAAAATACTGAAAGTCATGAAAATATGTTGCAAACAAACTTCTCCTCATGTCCTGGCATGGTCACTTGACGGCTATTACTCATCACCTAGGAGATGGAATTATTCAAAGGATGTTTTGAAGTGTGATGCTTCTGTTAGATAAAATCTGATCACACAGTAATGGGGATTCTGATACTCCCAGCCAAAGAACCCATCAGCTTTTTACATTAAGGTGACTAACCTAAGTGACCACAAGTATTTTATACTTGCATCATAAAATAATCCTTGCAAAATGGCTCTGAGTGTATCCTTTTTAAGGAGGCACATACCATAGCTATTTAGGTCCACGCAAATTTGGTGGATAAACCTTAGACTCAAATACAAGGCTGTTATCAAGTTTTGTATTGTGTAACTATGTGTTTGGTCTCAGCAAAACGAAGGAAGTTTTCTTCTAAACCAGTTATACTCACAGAAGCTCAGAAGCAGCTTATGGTGTGTCAACTACCTCGGGTTCTCAGATTACACCTTAAACGGTTTAGGTAAGTAGTACCACAACAAACAGCATTGCAAACTGACCAGTGTCGTCCTGCTCTTCCCTTGTTTGGGGTCTATGTTTTCAGCATCAGTTTCAGTTCTCTTTACTAGTATGATGAGAAATATTTATTAGAAACTTGTTTTTCTGGTTTAATTTAATCTTCAGTAAGATACACTGTAAGTAGAAAATGGACTTTTTAGACTCCAACCATTTGTTATTTTAATACCAAAATTACTTCATCCTTCTTTTTAGTAAAAACCTATTAACCTTGCTGTGAACTCTTGTTATCTGCAGGTAGACTAAATGCTCATATTCACTGATGTGCAAACCAAGAATGTATTCAGTGGAAGTCTCGCATAATCTTCATATAACCAAATACATTAATGTGTTAGCCTGAGAGTAAGGAAGCGAAGACTGCATCTCTGTGAACATTTAGTGCACACAGGAGTGCAGAGTCTGTCCTGAATACAAAGGAAACTGAAAATGAGATAGAACGAATGAGAAATACCAATGAGATACGGTACATGGGAAGTACTTCCCGCTCACCATTACACAGATCTTAAAATGTATATTTCAGAAGATGAGAATAGGAGGTACAATAGACACATTTTAAAAGGCCTAGAAATAAAGGAGGGGCCTAGGGAAAAGGCATTCAAATTAGCACTGATTTAATGCACAAAGGCAACAGCCAAGATGACACTTGTTCTGTTAAAACATAAGTCAGAATGCTGTGTTCTTTAAGAAAAAGAAAAGTAAGTTTTCATTTGACTGAACTTTGCAGGTGGTCAGGACGCAATCATCGTGAGAAGATTGGCGTACATGTTAATTTTGATCAAATGCTGAACATGAAGCCCTACTGCTGCAGAGAATCCCTCAAGTCCCTCCTGCCCGACTGCTTTATCTACGACTTGTCTGCTGTGGTAATGCATCACGGGAAAGGATTTGGCTCCGGGCACTACACTGCCTACTGCTACAATTCAGAAGGAGGTAGGAACCAGCTGTGGGAGAAGGGGTGTTCCTAATTCTCAACTGCTAAGCTTACTGGCTTGTCTCAAAAGCAAAAGGGAACCACTAGTAGCTGAAGAGCCTGGAATGAGAACTGCAGTTCACTAGACCGAAACAGTTCAATTTTTGTTTTGGCTTGTTAAAACTGTTCTGGCTATAAATTCTCTTGTAAATCTGAGGAAGCTAAGCTGGGCTTTTAAAACATTGAGGCAAATATACTAGATCAACTGACACAGTCTGCTCTTTGTACACAACTCATTAAATGGGACTGAACACTAATTCATGATTAAATAAAATGCAATGACTTCAAATCAGTGTCCTGATGACTTTTTTTTCCGGTGTATTTCTTCACTGCAGGATTTTGGGTACACTGCAACGATTCGAAACTCAACATGTGCACTATGGAAGAAGTATGCAAGGCTCAAGCCTACATTTTGTTTTACAGCCAACGATGTACTCAGGCAAACGGACATGGTAAAGCACCATGTCCTAGCACAGCTGAAAGCCAGCAGCACGCAGAATTAGCTGACTGTTCCATGGTCAACAGTATCAGCTAATCCAAAGCCAGTTCACTGTATGTATGGTAAAAGGTTGAATTGTCCTAACTATATATTTTTAAATGAAATGAAAGTACAGTATTGTACTTTTTTTACTTTGGATCTGTGTACAATGTCTATATACTTTTGTATTAGTTAAAGTACTCTTTACAATTGTTAGTAAAAGTTTTTATTGACAGTAAGTAACCAAGTACCTAGAATATCAATACAGCTATTTTTTTAAGAAAAAGATTGCTTTTTAAGAAAAAGATTTGCATTTAACTCTTACCTCAGGCTGTTTTTTAAAGCTGGTTTTGTATTTTGATAATCTTTTTGAATTGGTTTAGAAAAATTACTTTCAACGGGCAACTGATGTTTCTCTGGTTAATTTTCTATATATGCTCGTGTACATTTTATAGTATAGTTCTAATGATATCACAATTCTTACTGTCTGCAGGAATTACTACTAGGTCTTAGAATATTGACATTCACCAACGAGGAATGTTCTACATATCAAATAGGAACTGAACTTTTCATAGGAAACTTACTTTCTGTATATGCTTCATGACTAAAGTGAAACTATTTTGTAAGCTTCAAAGGGAGCCACACTAAAGATATGTCTATAGACTTTCTTAAAATCTGAAATTGAGGAAGTAGAACATGAACTTATTTTCATGTAAGTATTTAAGAGAAGTGTTTGAAAACACAAGAATGTATCTTTATCCAGACTTCCATATTTTAGCCTTAGGAAGTCTGACAACTTAAATGCCAAATTCGAAGTACTTTGACACAACCAGGGGCTTTTAATTCCATTAAAGCTCTCTTAAAAAAAAAGCCAAGCGCACACCCACCCCGCTGCCACTGCTACAAGAGCATTCAGCATTGGACAAGGTTACTTTAAACTGTAGCAAGCCTTGTCTGTCTCAATATAAGTCAAACCAATGAAAAGAAGCTGTAACCTGTTGTACAAAAGCATTTTCAATCTGACTGGTTTCATTACCTACAACTGCTGTGCCTTCTCCACGGTTGTACCACTAGCATTAACACTGCTATGCATCGAGGAGACTCTAACAAGCAGGAATTATCAGTCCTCCGCATACAGTAGTTAATGCCAAGTAAATTTGAATTGTGAAGTTATTTTGCGTAAGTCCTATGCAAATTGTTACCTCATCTTCTGTAAAGTTTATACCTCAATAAAATGCCTTGATGTGGACAGAAAATCACTTGTGCACTGCAATTGGTTCCTGCATTAGCATTACAAGCTTTTGTAAAAATTATTTTTGAGTTTTTTCTAATGTGGCTCAGGGTCACATTCCACTGATTTAACAGTGGTTTTATATTTAAAATGGAGCTCTACTGGAGCCAAGTGGCTAGTGACACAACCTGCAGAAATGCCCGTGCGCTGCTGTAGGCCTTGGGAAACCAGAGAGCTATTTGATGAAAGGCCACCTGCCTGTTCTAGCAGCAGCTGTTCTGGAGTCGAGGTTCCACAGCTCACTTGTGGGAACTCAGCAGAGCAGTAAAGCTAAGAGTGCAGCAGCTCAGCACCTGTATCAGCAGCAGGGGCGTAGCTTGGTGGAATGGTCTGTTCTGTATCATAAGAGATAAGGTGGGCAAACACACCTGATAGATTAAGAGCTCCCTCCTTCATCAGGAGGAAGCTGGTCTGGTAGCTAAGTTACTTGCATGCAGGACTAATCAATCCTGTGAAGGCATCCACTCTCCACCTTCATTTTAATCTACATTCAGAAAACCAGGTTCAGGTTGAAGGCACAGCTCCATTTCCACCTTGTGAAGAGCTGTCTCCAGCCCAGCTACCTGCTGCCTGGTTACCTGGAGCCCTGGCTGAATTCCCTCTCATTGCACAAGCAATCAGTGCTTGTAAGAGCTTGGTAAAGCAATTCTGTAGTAATTATGTTTAATGAAGGATTCAGGATCACCTCACACACACACAGTAATGCTCTATGAGTAGCAATCTGGCAAACGAGCACAGTGTGTATATGCACACAGAGTATCACTCAAGATAGAAACATTACCAGTAACTAGTTTTACATGCATTTGTGAGGTCACTTGCTGACTCCCTCAGCCCTTCAGGGAGTGGCTGGGTTTTTCCCCAGATAGACAAGGGAGCAGCACCAGTCACCTACCAAGTACATTTGAGGAGAGTGCACACAATGGCTGAGTGGAAGGGGCCTCTGGAGATTGTAGAGTCCAACTCTGCTTGAAACAGGGTCAGCCAGAACAGGTTGCTCAGGGCTGTGGGCAGTCAGGTCTCCCATAGCACCAAGGGTGAGGACACCATAACCTCTGCTGACGGCCTGTGTCACTGCTAGACCATCCTCACAGTAAAACCAGTTTCTTCCTTCTGTCTAAATGGAACCTCGTGTGTTTCAGTTTGTGCCAGTTTCCTCCTGTCCTGTCACTGGGCACCTGGCTCAGTCTGCTTTACTCCTCCCATCAGGTGTCCATACACAAGGATAAAATCTACCCTGAGCTTCCCTTCTCCAGGCTGAGTAGTCCCAGCTCTGTCAGCCTCTCCTCATACACCAGATGCTTCAGGCCCACCAGGGCTGAGGAGAGGGAAGGGCTCACCTCCCTCTATCTTCTGGGGTGCTCTGCCCAGTGCACTGTTGCACTGCTCATGGTGAGGTTGTCCCCCAGGCGCTTCTCTGGGGAGCAGCTTCCCAGCCTGTCCTGGTGCCCGGGGTTATTCCTGCCCAGGCTCAGCATGTGGAGTTTCCCTTTGTTGAGCTGCATGAGGTTCCTGGTGGCCCATTCCCCAGCCTGTCCCGCTCCTTTGGGTGACAGCAAGAGCCACTGGTCTGTCAGTTACTCTGCCTATGTTTGTGTCAGCTGCAAACTTGCTGAGAGCTCACTGACACTTCACACAGCACCTTCTTAAACTGAAAAATACCACCATTTTCCAGTCCCAGGGACTAACAGGTAAATGCATTCAGACAGCACATAGTGGGATTGTGTGTCTTCACTTTTATCTAACTGTAAATAAGGCTTCCATGCAGCTCCCTCCAACTTAAGAGATTTGGAGATCTGGTGTTACTGAGAAAAGAAAAACAGTAATTTCAGAAGTTAGAGAAGCACACATTTAATTCTCAAAAACAACTAGGCAAAAGGCTTACTCTTTCTTCATCTGAACTGCTGACTAGTCTACGCAGTTTTGGGGGTTTTCTTGAGCACTGTAGCTTTGTAAAAGAAAAGTCAGTATCAGCATAGTAGCAAAACAAAGCTAAAATCTATGCAACTTTCAACCTTAGTTATAAGAGTTGGGTGGCCATCACTGCAAAAACACAAGCCAAAAATCCTGACGGAGTCACAGCACAGGTGCCTAATTATTTTTTCTTCTACTTTAAAAGTACTCAAACATTCCAAGTTATAAAAACAGAACTGCCTCTGGATCCTTGCAGGAAAAACCCCATACCATATATAAGTCATATAAAAATAACATCCTGCTTCAAAGCCCGTGGTGCTTTTTTCAAGTTACATGGTCTTTATCTCCAAACACACCTTCGTAAACCATTTGGCAAAAGCATTGTATTGTGAATGACTTCAGAAAACACACTGCCCGCCTTTATTTATGGACAGCTGATTGGTGTTCCAACTTGTTGGAATGCAACATTCTGTGGAAGTGCAAAATCCTGGCAAATGATTAACTATAAAAAGCCAAATGCTTGTCTTCCTGTAAAAAAAAAAATAAAATATATGTATATGTATGTGAAATAAGTAGGATTTGGCAAAGTTCCTCTTCTCCAAACACCACCTGTAAAAATGAAACGAACAAGTTCCAGTCATGTTTACACATCACAACATGAAGTTTCCATGATCCCATCTTTACTCTGGTGCTGTACTGTTACATAAAATGGATATTCGTTTGAAATACTGGAGGTGACGTGACACGATGAAGCTGGAGGACACAACAGCAGTTTTCTTACAGTAACGGCAACTTTACCTCCCTCCCTAGATGCCTAGAAAGGGAGAACCCTGATCTTTCTTGTAAGGTGATAGCGACTTTATAGTGATAGGATAAGGCAGAATGGCTTTAAACTGAAAGGGTAGGTTTAGATTAGATTAGTTTTAGATTCTTCACTACGAGGGTGGTGAGACGCTGGCACAGGTTGCCCAGAGAAGCTGTGGCTGCCCCATCCCTGGCAGTGTTCAAGCCAGGTTGGACAGGGCTTTGAGCAACCTGCTCTAGTGGAAGGTGTCCCTGCCCGTGGCAAGGGTTGGAACTGAATGATCTTTAAGGTCCTTTCCAACCCAAACCTGGGTTCTGACACACTCAGATTTTTAAGCCAAAATGTGAAGTGCAGAACTCCAAGGAAATCTACCATTAATACACAAGCAGAAAAATAATTTTTATATATAGCAGACTTAATGATTCTGAATACTACTACCTCTTCAAGTAGAATCAGTAGCATCTGGCTACTGATTCCTGCAGCTGGAACAGGCTTTTTTGTTTTCTATAATGTATTCAAACTGCAGGAGCTTTGAGACAAAGGTGACCAAACCCATCCCCCTGTGCAAGACTCCCACCTCATGGCTGGCTGTTTGCACCCACTAGCCCCAGTTTCCCTGTCCCACACTGTAAGAGCCATCTGACATGGGCCACCACATGGAGCAGTCCCAGGCCCAGCTCTGGCCAAGGGGCACACTGCCCAAGGGGAAGTGCCAGGGCAGGTCCAGTTCTCACCCTTTGCAGCAGGCAGCTACTTTATTGGCAACAGCTACAGGCTGTCACCTGAACACTAACATAAAGTCAAGTTCACTTTGCTTTGTTTCTGCCCCATCCTGCTCCTTTTGGGGGGGGGGGGGGGGGGGGGGGGGGTG